GTGGTCAGCAGTTGGTACAGTACATTTTTGGACTACACTTTTTTATTTATTACTAGAGGCCTGGTGCACAAAAATTTGTGCACTCGTGATGGGGGGAATCCTTCAGCCCGTCTTGTGCCCTCTCAGTCTGGGACCCCTTGGGGGATGTCTGCCAGCTGGCTTAGGCCCAGGGGAGTGGGCCTAAGCTTGCAGTCAGACATACCTCTGGCAGCCTGGGAGCTCTCAGGGGATGTTCACTTGCCAGCAGGGAGCAGGCCTAAGCTGCAGTCGGACATCCTTAGCTCTGCTGAGGAGGCAGGAGAGGCTTCCGCCACCATCACTGTGCTGGCAGCCGTCAGCCTGGCTTGTGGCTGAGCAGAGGTCCCCCTGTGGGAGCACACTGACCACGAGGGGGCAGCTCCTGCATTGAGCGTCTGTCCCCTGGTGGTCAGTGTCATAGTGATCAGTGATTCCCAGTTGTTCTGCTATTAGGGTCAATTTGCATATTATTCTTTTATTATATAGGATAGAGGCCTGGTGCACGGGTGAGGTCCGGCTGGTTTGCCCTGAAGGATGTCCCAGATCAGGGTGGGGTCCACACTGGGGTCCTGGCCAGCCTGGGTGAGGGGCTGATGGCTGTTTTCAGAATGGCCAAGCCCCCCAGTGGGAACCCTCACTCCACTGGGGTATGGCCAGACTTGGTGAGGGGCTGAGGGCCGTTTTCAGGCTGGCCACGCACCCCAGTGACCCAAGCTCCCAGCCTCTCTTTTTTCTTTTTCTTTTTTTTTCAGTGCCTCCTTGAGTGGAGGCCAGAGCAGGCTAGAAGCAGGTTTCTAGGATTTATTTTTCTTCTATAATTGAAACATTGTAGCCTTGAGCAGAGCCCAGGGCCAGCCAGGCCAGGCGGGAAACTTGGCTTCCTCCATCGCCAAGGACAACCCAAGCCTCCTGCTCACACCAGCTCCGTGGCCACAGCCATCTTAGTTGGGTTAATTTGTATACTCGCTCCTGATTGGCTGGTTGGTATGGCTTGTGGGTGTAGCTGAGTGGCGGAGTGATGGTTAATTTGCATGTTTCTCTTTTATTAGTGTAGATAGTCCAAGGGTTATTCAAGTTATGGCTTATGGAGGTAAATTTTATTAAGAGCACTAATTCTATTTAAATGGCTTCAGCTTTAAATTTGTGTATATTACAACAAATAATGCAGTGCAATTAGCACTTCCTGTATTCTGCAGGAAATCCATTCTCTAAGCATAAGTTATGAAATTGTTGAATAAGCAAGATAGCAACATGGTAAGACCATGTTTGCTTTTAAAGAACATTGGGAGAAGAGAGACACATATAGGCAATCAGTAATGCTGAAATGAATTAATGAATATATGCAATTGGTCAACTTCCTTAGTGAAATAAAATGTAATTTTTCAACTGTCTTTTCCACCAGGTGGAAATCAATTGCAGAACAAAGTTTATTTCTCTCTCTATGGGCAGGAGTAATTTGCATTATTATCAGAGTTCTACAACTTAAAATCAAAACAGTGAAAGGCACAGGCCCCTACAAAATCAGATATTCCCAAAGGATCTGTCAGTCGATGCCCAGATCCCCACTAACCCTTTTGTCTATTTCAAAATTGTGCACCATTTTTCTGACACTTTCCTTCTTTTCTAATTCCAACATCACAACCACTTTCTTCTCTCCCTGTTGTGCACTGTAGCTTCCCCCTCAATGCTTCTACCTCGGGGGAAATAATTTAGAACCCCATGATTTTGAAAAACACAATTAAAAGTCCAGGTTTTGCCTGAGGCTTCCTAGTACAGGGATAGCTAGAAGTGTAGAGAACTGGGCAGAAGTGAGCTTGTGAACCACAAGCTTGGTTCAGACTGCAAATTCCCAGAAACATAACAATTTACATCTCCCAATCAGAGAAGGTTTAGATCATTGTATAAAAATGTTGTTTTATGAGCAAAGCCAATGGCCACAGACAGTAGGTGGGGAGAGAAAGGGGGGCGGGAGGAGGAGGGCTTGCGCTTGGAGAAGCGGGTGGTGAGGAAGACATCAATGAGGGAAAAAAGGAGACTCATGAAATACTTTAAATAATAAAGAATTTAAAAATAAATAAATAAATAAAAATGCTGTTATGTCCTGTTTTTAGGGTATTACCTGCATATGTACAGCACAGCATTTGTGAGAGGGCACTTGTCCATGTATTTGCTCCTTTGATACTCGCCAAAATTCTGTGAAGCAGTCTGGTGTTCATTTATGATCCTCTTACTTGCAAAGAGTAAACCAAGGCCTAGAAAAGTTATGAGAATTGCTTACGGTCACACACTGACAAGTGACAGGTAGAATTTATACTCAGGCTTTCTGAACATTGTCCAGATACATTTCACTATGTATCCTAGCATTCAACTCGATGGGCATTTACCAAATACTGTGTTCCTAGAATAATAACATGTTATAACCCTGGGTTTTATTCCCAATTTGTATAGAAGGAAAGAATTGTAACGATGAACTAATAAAGCTGTTATTGATATTTGTTAGTGCTGTGTTTTTTCAGGGAAAATTCAATTAACTACTTAGAAGAGTTATATAAATGGCTGGAATATATGGAAGAGAACTGCAATTTATCCATAATCTTGCACATTTTAGGTGAAGGATGAGTGATTGCAATTACCTTCCCAACCCCTGTTTCATAAGACAACTGGTAGTTTATCATATTGAGAAGTGTTTAGTAGAATATACCTACTTATTAGCAATATCTGTTTTGATTTCAACTGTTTCTTAGCTTTATGTTGAGTGGTTTATGGTTTTAGGAGGAAGGAATACCTGTAATATGCATTTGGAAATTGTTGTTCTGTAGTTTCAATGAATTGTGGGAGTTAGAAAAAGCCCTTCAATGATATATAACTCTTTATAGTATTTGCATACCAAATGTCCATTGCTGTCTGTATTTTGCAATGGGATAAAGCCAGAGAATTTTTTTTTCTCCTTAGCATTCCAAGGCTTCCCATCTTAGAGGAAAGATACGATGTGATTCATCCGATTTCCTTTTTATATTAAAGTACAGGATAGCTCACCACATTGCTTGGAAATGCAACATAAATATAGAGATAAACTTCATATGGGTTTAGCAAGTTCTGTTTGGAGGCAGTACATAGAAGTTGAGACTGAATACAATATTTGGTTTGATTTTCTGTTCAAAAATTTTCCATGGTAAGGACAATATTTTTCTACATACATCAGTGAGCAACAATGATTACTTCAAAGCTTCTGAAGCCAAATATACAACTGCATGTTCCAATACACGTTGCTGAATGTAGTCCCAATACTCTTTGTAATGTATACTTTGTATTACTGACAATGAATAAGGAATAGTTACAATGGTGTCTGCCATCTGTGTGTTGTGTCGTAAATCAGCGAGTGAGATACAAGACGCCTTAATGAGCCAAATAATTGGGAGTTGTTTATTGAGCTCGGCCCAGAGGGAGGTGTTTCTTCCAAATCTCTGAGCAAAGACACAGAGGAAGTTTCCCGTATTTATACCTTTTGGGCTCTTTTCAGATTTTACAAAGGGCTCTGTGTGAGTTATTGTTACAGACAGTTTGTAATCTTGGGTACATAAATAACGAACATTTGGCATAAGAATATGGGAATTATTATCAGTATTAGTCCATTACATTAGAGGTCTAGCTTGCAAGGTCAGACAGTTAAATTTTTATCTTTTTCTATTATTCAAACTAAAACAGTTATTCTACAGAATATGAGACTGTCTAAAAATGACAGAGTTTGCAGAACAAGGAACTACCTAACAATAGCAGAGAATTTCAAACAGCAGTTTTTATACAAGATGGAACTTACTCTGCTTCATGTGCATGTTAATAACTTGTTTCACTTTTTCACCTGGCCTGCCTTCTCTCTGTAGCTGCACTGCTTACTTAAGGGGACAATTAAAGCATTGCTCTTTTATCTTAAGGATTTGTAACATCCTAAGACCTTACCCTATAGAAACCTATAATGAATTGAAACTATTTTCTTTTTCTTTTCCAGTTAAAACTCAGCTACTATTTACTACAATTGAATCTGTAGAATACTCCATTTGCAATGAAACTCTTCTCATCATCCCATGCTTAGTCACCAATGCGGGGGCAAAGAACCTTAAAGAAATGTTTGTAGAGTGGAAATTCAGAAATAAACACATTTTCTTCTATGATGGAGATAAAAATGAATCCAGCCCCAACAGTAACTTTTCGAGTGCATACATCGTACCAGACGCACTGCTAACAGGCAAAGCCTCTTTGATGATGGACAAGAGCGATGCTGTCCCAGGAAACTACACTTGTGAAGTAACAGAATTAACTGGAGAAGGCAAAACCACTGTAGAACTAAGATATATTGCTGGTAAGAATTTCATAATCTACCCTTTTATTTGTCCTGCAGTAGCCTAATCCTATGAGAAATGGGGCACAATGGGGGGAGGAACTCTGAATGAAAAAGTAGATTATGACTAACAAATGTTTATGTAATGTTCAGCAGCTTTAAGATCAGGAGTTTTACTTCCTCTTCTACTTTTCATAATAAAAGTACTTTGCTGTGTTATTTGTGTATTGTCAGGTTCTCAAACTTTTGTTCTGAGAACTATTCTTCTGGTGTAAGGATCGTGGAGTCATTTGATCTGCATTTCTGTTGGCTGCTCTCAAAAGTACTATCTTTCATGTGACTAATTTTCCATGATTTTTCCAATTATGTAGCTTTTTTTTTATTATTATTACCGGTACTTTGGTCAAGGGTTGACAAATCCCAGCCGTGCTCCAGCTGGAAAGGATTAGAATCACAAAATTAAAAATCAGGTCATAATGATGTTTCCTGCTATGGTGTTTGTTCTTTTTCTTGGCCAAGATGAGGGAGAGCTAGGGATCCAATAGAATTAAATTGAATTCAGCCTTGGTTATAGCACCATGATTGTGCCTTTCTTCGCAGACTTGGGCTGGGGAGTTGCATAAAGCAGTAAAGCTAGCTGAAGTAAACAATCTGCTTTCTTTCTAGTCCTTGCCATGCCAGCTGATTCTTTAACCACATACAGGTGCATACTGACTTTTTATTTTGAAAGCTCTATTTAGAACCACTAGTCATATTACTGCTATCAGGATTAGACAAGCCTTTGAGAACCTCTGCTTTAGATGGGATCAGTTGAATCAACTATTTGCCTTCTATGCAGTGGTCAGCAAACTGCGGCTTGTGAGCCACATGCGGCTCTTCGGCCCCTTGAGTGTGGCTCTTCCACAAAATACCAAATTCTGCCCATGGGCCACGAAGTTTCAATCTCACTGTACATTCGCACCCACACGTGGTATTTTGTGGAAGAGCCACACTCAAGGGGCCGAAGAGCCGCATGTGGCTCACGAGCCGCCGTTTGCCGACCACTGTCAGCGTTTCCTGTTATCAAATGTTTATTACCAGATTGGGAATGGGGTTTTAATTCTGATGGAATATTTTGACATTCCATCTGATTTTTCAACTTAACCATTTGCCTCTATTGAACTTGAGAAGTTACTTCACTGGGTCCAAGTTACCTCATCTCTACAATGGGGATGAAAAGAGATTCCTGCTTTATGTATTCTCCAGTCTAACAAGCATCATGAGATCCCTTGTGTACCAGTCCTTTGTAAACCAAAGTACTTTGCAAATGTTAGCTGTCCTCCTGGGACATTTATTTTATGAAGTGAGGTACTGAGGTGTTGAAGCTGGGGTGTTATGAGAGGGGTGTCTGTGTGGTGCAGCATGAGCAGGAGATGGCTAAGAGCAGAATTTGGAAGGCTTTTCTGCTAAAAAATCTCCCTTGCATTGAAAATCTCATTAACTCACAGTGGGGGAGGGTGATTTTGGAATAGAGTGTAGGTCACTGAGAGGAGAATTGTAAAGTCAAAACTTAAAGGCCATGAGATGGGATGAAGGTGGATGGGAAAGAAATGCCAATCTCTGGGATAAAGACAAAGTGTAATTTTCTGTGTGATTGTCTCATCTTTGTTTTCAAAGTCCCCGGATAAAATAAGTACTATGCTTACTGTTGGGGCCATTAAAATGTGAAAGTGGTGTTTTGTTGTAGAGAATGTAGAAGATTCTACCAGAGGTCTCAGACATTTGGCTTGTACCCATTTTTATTTTTTGAAATCATTATAGAATCACATGAAGTTTCAAAGATTGAACAGAGAGGTGCTGTGTACTCTTACACAGCTTCCCCCAGTTACATTTTATGTAACAGTAGTTAAATGTCAAAATCACCCAGTTCACAATGGTACAATGTGTGTGTACAGTATTTCTTTTTCTTTTTATCACATGTGTATATTTCTGAAATGACCACCACAATCAGAATGTAGAACTATCCCATTAATATATATATCTGCCTCATGCAAGTCCTTTATAGTCACCTGCTCCCTTACTATCCCTAACCTGTTAAGCATAATTTTTTCTCTATATCAATACTTTGCTCATTTACAAAATGTTGTATAAAAGTATGTAATCTTTCGAGACTGGCTTTTTTCCCCCATCAGCACGATGCCCTTGAGATCTATTCATGCAACAGTATCATGTAGCAATCTCTCTCTCTTTCTCTTTCTCTCTCCTATTCCATGTTATTGCTATATCACACCTTGTTGAACCATCTACCTACTATAGCACATCTTGGTTGTTTTCAGCTCATGACATTTCTATAAACAATCATGTACAGTTTTTTAAATATATTTTATTGATTTTTTACAGAGAGAGAAAGGGAGAGGAATAGAGAGTTAGAAACATCAATGAGAGAGAAACATCGATCAGCTGCCTTCTGTACACCTCCTACTGGGGATGTGCCCGCAACCAAGGTACATGCCCTTGACCGGAATTGAACCTGGGACCCTTCAGTCCACATGCTGACTCTCTATCCATTGAGCCAAACCAGTTAGGGCCATGTACAGTTTTTTTGTGGACATAGTCTTAATTTCTCTGGAAAAATGCATAGTACAACTACTGGATTATATGTGTGTATAGGCTTAATTTTTGAAGAAACTGCCAAACTGTATTCCAGAGTGATTGTTCCATTGTACATTCCCACTAGCAACATATGTGTGATGTAGTTCCCCCACATCCTTGCCAGCATCTGGTGGTGTCATTGTTTTGCACCATTTTTAAGGGAAAATAAGGAAACTCCTCCACCCAAAAATGGTTAATTGAAGTAGTGTTCTTCCAAATTTATTTTGATGAATTTACTCATCATGTGAATCCTCGGGATTTAGGCAGTGGAATCCATTTTTACTATGTTGTGCTTTTTTTTTTTTCATATATAGACATAATGAGAACTAGAAACTGTTTACTAGAGAATTCTACCTAGTAAAATGTGTATTAATGGTGGCCCATCTTTGTTCCCATTTGGGGTGTGGTGGGAGGGATATCAAGATTTTATTTGAGGACAACCAAGATGGCGGCATAGGTAAACACCTGAACTTGCTGCCGCACACAACCACATTAAAACTACAACTAAAAGACAAAATGAGTATCATCCAGATCCACAGGAAGGCTGGCTGAGTGGAAATTCTACAATAGAAGGAAAGAGAAAAGCACATTGAGTCTGGTAGGAGGTGCAGAGGTGTGGAAGTATGGAGATATGGAGGCGCATGTGAAAGGGGCTGGCAGTTGGGTATGCTGTTGTCTTTTTTAATCAGAAAGGAGATACAAGCTCCCAACTGCTCTGTACTCCAGTTCAGGCGAGAATCTGGTGACCCAGACTCATACAGAAAGAAACTGGACTGTCTGGTATTGGGCCGGAACACAAGGGTGGCTTTCTCTCAGAGGTGCTTGCAGCGGTCATTGTTTCTGCATGGGGCCACGGGACACAGAGACCCAGGGGCCTCTTTGGGGCAGGGCTGACTGGCAGCCATTGCTGTTTGCTCTGCCCTGGTGATTCCCTGAGACCCTGCCCCACCCAATTTACAATGCCACCCAAGCTGTATGCAGAGGCTTTTGCATATGAATGGCCTGTTGTTTCTCCACCTATAAATCTGTCAAACTTCAGCTGGGTCAGAGAACCCCAGAGCTTCCAAAAGAAGGCCTGAGGCTCATTAGCAGCCTGCATTGCTTCATAACTCTGCCTCATCTGGGCAGCCCCAAACCCCAAACAAAGAGGAGGAATCTGCAGATCTCTCTCTAGCTCCTGCTGGGTGGCCTCAGGCAGTAGCTGACTTTGCACCTCCTTGGAGATCCAAGATCCAGTGTACCCAGTGGTCAGAGTGAGACCATGCAGATTACAACTCTTCACATCCATAAGGGACACACTCAGGGGGCAGACTCAGTGAGCGCCAAAACTCCACTGAAGCAAGTTGTGCCCCATAAGGGTGTCTCCAGTACAGAAATTCTCCCATTGTAGACACACCTGGTCCTCATGGCCAATTGGCCTGAGGGTCAATTCCTCCCAGTGATACCAACAGCAATCAAGGCTTAACTACAACAAGACTGTGCACACAGCCCACAAAGGGGTGCACCAAGAGTGTCTACCTCAGGTAATTAGGGAGGCTGAGCCACTGGACCCTATAGGACACCTAGCACACAAAGCCACCCTATCAAGAAGCCAAAATTCAGAGACAAAGAAACAGTTCACAAATGAAAGAAATAGAGGAAAGCAAACTACTGGATATAGAATTCACAACCATGGTTATAAGGCTACTCAAGAATCTTCTAGAAACCTCTAAGAAATATAGTGAGACCCTCAAGGATATGAAAAAGGACCAATTAGAAATTAAGCATACACTGACTGAAATAAAGAATAATATACAGAGATCCAACAGCAGACTAGAGGATCACAAGAATCAAGTCAAAGATTTGAAATACAAAGAAGCAAAAAATATCCAACCAGAAAAGCAAAAAGAAAAAAGAATACAAAAATATGAAGATAGTGCAAGGAGCCTCTGTGACAACTTTAAGCATACCAGAAGAGAGAGAGCAAGATATTGAAAATCTATTTGAAGAAATAATGACAGAAAACTTCTCCTACCTGGTGAAAGAAATAGACTTACAAGTTCAGGAAGTTCAGAGAACCCCAAACAAAAGGAGTCCAAAGAGGACCACACCAAGACACATCATAATTAAAATGCCAAGGGCAAAAGACAAAGAGAGAATATTAAAAGCAGCAAGAGAAAAACAGTTAGTTACCTACAAAGGAGTACCCATATGACTGTCAGCTAATTTCTCAACAGAAACTATGCAGGCCAGAAGGGAATGGCAAGAAATATTCAAAGTGATGAATAGGAAGAACCTACAACCAAGATTACTTTACCCAGCAAAGCTATCATTTAGAATTAAAGGTCAGATAAAGAGCTTCACAGATAAGAAAAAGTTAAAGGAGTTCATCACTGCCAAACCAGTATTAT